AGGGGTGTCGCTTCGGCTTCCCGCACGAGTGTCAACCCGAGACCTCCTTGCAGTTCGAGGAGATGGACAACGGCTCCGTGAGAGCCACCATCAAAACCAAGCGCAACGACGGCAATCTCAACAGCTACTGCCGCCTTGCTCTCTCTCATTGGCGGGCGAACATCGACTTCCAACTCATCTTGGACTGGGACCAGGCGGTGCGGTACATGGTGAAGTATGTGAGCAAAGGAGAGAAGCGGTCGCCCGCCGCCGCCGACGTCTTCGCCCGGGCCATCGGTCGCGCGGACGATGACGCTGACGAGGCGCAAACAGTCCTGCGAAGCGTGTTCCTCAAGTGTACGGGCGAGCGCGACATTTCCGCCCAGGAGACGGCACGGCTGCTCCTCGGGAACAAGCTGTGCTCTTCTTCTTTCAGCTTCGTACGCCTCGTCGTCGACCCTTCCACCAGCACACGCCAGGTTAACCTCGACGGTGCGGCGGGGGAGGGCGCCCTCAAGAAATCCATGCGGGACCTCTACGCCGGCCGGCGCAGCGTCATCGACAAGTACCCATCCATCATGGATGTTAGCTACTTCCAGTTCCACCAGCTGTACACTCGAGACCGGGGGGGGGGGGTCACGGCGAGAGACGGCGCGGGCAGCCTCGTCGTCATCAAGCTGCCTGCCCTGCCGTGCTCTCCGGGGAGCGCGCGGCATCTTGAGGCCTGCCGCAACAACCTCTTCGCCCACAGGCCATGGGAGGATGAGCCGACAACAGCCTGCCGCGACATGGGGGCAGTCACGGACCTGGATGCCTCAGCCTCCATCTCCGGAGAGGAACCCAAGCTCGCCCTGCTGTGGGACGCCTTCGTCCAAGCCAACCAAGACCTGCCCGAGCTGCGCTTCGGCGACATGCTGGCAGGGCGGCTGTCTCTTGCCCGCCGAGAGGCCGCGTCCACGGCCGAAGACGACGACGACGACGGCTTGCTCTTAGACCAGCCCGACGATTGGATGGATGGGGCCAACATGCGGCGAAGAGGCGCCGCCAGGGAAGAACAGGAGGTTGACACAAGGTGGGACGCTGAATACAACTGGGCCGGCGCCCGAGCGACTGAGGTCCAACATGAGCTGGAGAGAGGGCCAACGTGGATTGCGAACGCCAAGAAAGCTGCAGCCGGCACTGGCCCCGCCACCGAGATTCCTCATGTGGCTCCGGACTCTCTCAATGAGCGGCAACGCAATTGCTACGACGTCGTCAGGGACCACTTCGAGAACGAGCGCGAGGAGCCACTGCGCATGATGGTTCTCGGGACGGCAGGCACGGGGAAATCATACCTCGTGTATGCCCTCTCCAGGCTGCTCGGCGGCTTCCTTCGACGGGCAGCTCCAACCGGTATGGCGGCCTTCCTCATCGCCGGCAGCACGCTGCACAGCCTCCTCCGACTGCCGGTGAGGCAAGGAAGGAATCTCCAGGGTCAAAGCCTCAAAGCCCTGCAGAATTCCCTTACTGGCGTCAAGTACATCATCATCGACGAGCTATCGATGGTCAGCCAGTCCCAGATGGCGTGGGTCGATCGACGTCTGCGACAAGGGACAGCTGTAGACAAACCCTTCGGCGGAATCTCCCTGATCATGACCGGCGATCTGGGCCAGCTGCAACCGGTGGGAGGAACTCCGCTGTACAAGCAAAACCCAGCTGCCGCGCTCAACGTTGAAGGCTATGCCGCCTACAGCCTCTTCCAGGACGTCTTCATCCTTGACAGAGTTCAGCGGCAGACGGCAGCCGCCGCCAACGACGACGACCAGAGAGGCTTCATCGAACTGCTGCCGCGTGCGCGTGATGGACAGCTTTGCGACGAGGACTGGGACCTCCTCCTGAAGAGACAGCCCAACCGCCTGACCGCCGCTGAGAAAGCGGCTTTCGAGGACGCAACGAGGCTCTTCTACTCCAAGAAAGAGGTCAACAAGTACAACGGCAAGAAACTCCGGGAGCTGGACAACCCCGTCGCTCGTGTTAGCGCCGTCCACACGGGCGCGAACGCCAGGAGGGCGACAGCAGACACCGCGGAGGGGCTCGAGAGGGACCTCTACTTAGCCAAGGGAGCGAAGGTTATGCTCTCGAAGAACCTGTACCAACAAGTTGGGCTGGTGAACGGCATTAGAGGCGAAGTCGTCGAGTTGGTGTGCGCAGATGATGCGCCCCCGCCGAAGCTCCCCCTTTACGTTGTCGTCAAGTTTGAAGGGTACTCGGGGGGGGAATGGTCGTCTCAGGAGAGGTATAGACGTTGTGTCCCTATTTCTCCCGTCGACACCACCTGGCAGGACGGGGGGACGCAGGTCAGGACGCAGCTGCCCCTTAGGCTCTGCTGGGCAATTACGATGCACAAGTCCCAGGGGCAGACTTTAGCCAAGGCCGTCATTGACTTGGGGCCCAAGGAGGCCTGCACGGGGCTTACTTTCGTCTGTCTCAGTAGGGCGAAGAGACTTGTGGACCTCATGGTAGAGCCCATGAGTTTCGACAGGATTGGTAACCTTGGAAATTCGCCGACGATGAAGGCTAGGCTGCAGGAAGAGGTTAGACTTGGGGAGTTAGCACAGAGTACGAGGGTCAAGTACACGGACATGGGCGTCTTCAGCGCCGTCGCGGGTAACCAATGACGTGAATTGCAAAGAGAAAAAGAAGAAGAAAGGGTCTCTTCCACCTCCCGCGGACGCACACGTCTGACGACAGTTACATCTATCAGCTGTCGCTCGTTTTAGCGACAGCTACTATATCTTTGCTGAGAGACGATCAGCAAGGGTCTGAGATGGAGTGGGGATCCAACTTCATCTCAGTCAGGGGGTACACATAGAAGACAATTCTAAGGGGGTAGGGGTCAGAAGGGTATACCTCCTGACCGACCCGCATATCAACAATAACATGTATGTACCCTATTCATGCTAGCAGCCACACTCCTTAACACACTACATCCATCCATGTTTTACCTCCAAATGTACACCGGGTGCATGCATGATGAGCCTCTCTCTGCTGTCCGGGGTGCCTTTGAGGTTGCCTGAAGAATAATACTATTAATAGTGCTACGGCCTNTCAGGGGGTACACATAGAAGACAATTCTAAGGGGGTAGGGGTCAGAAGGGTATACCTCCTGACCGACCCGCATATCAACAATAACATGTATGTACCCTATTCATGCTAGCAGCCACACTCCTTAACACACTACATCCATCCATGTTTTACCTCCAAATGTACACCGGGTGCATGCATGATGAGCCTCTCTCTGCTGTCCGGGGTGCCTTTGAGGTTGCCTGAAGAATAATACTATTAATAGTGCTACGGCCTTCTTGCAATAAAACATGTGATAATTTGATAGCGTCGAGGTGAACTTTTATTGGGCAGCTTAGTCGTCTACGGTTGAAAGGCAGCAGCAACGTTTCACTAGCAGCGGGTGCTTGCGCTGAGGTGGGAAAAGAACTTTTAACTAACTGTTGTCCAACAAATCTATCTGGTCAATCAAGTCAATTTTGGTGTCACCAATGCCGTGTTTTCGACAATCAGTCCAAGAGCCTCAGGAAACTTAATGAAGCCCGCCCACGTCGCCCACCTCACGATTGATCCAAATACCGTCCCTTGGTACTCTGTCAGCCCCGCAAAGCGCAAGCGCTGCATTCTGAAATCGAACAGTCCTGGATAATGCCAAGCCGGCACTATAGATACATGTAGCTTGTAGAGGGATTTTTAGGCCCTGATTAGTAGTGCCGTTTGGCACTATTCAGGCTCAATTCTGAATAGTGTTGGTGCCCGGTATAGTGCCGGTCAAATCGCCTGGTCACATACCGGTCGCCCCGGTGGTCTAGTGGGCAGCCTCGCAGCCTGCTAAGGGCCAGCCAGGTCATGGGTTCGAGTCCCGACAGAGTGAGTTTTTTCTCGTTAATTTAATCCTGGTCTCCGCTGGAAGCGACGCGCTGCAAAGCTCTCGCTGTTATTAGTAAACTTGATGGACTTCATACGTCGCGACGGAAGGTATTGCTGTACCCTTCTCGCGATAACAATACCTCAGGCAGGAACCGCAGGAGGGGGTCCAACCCCCCCGCCTATCTATGTAACCCCGGTTGGGTCGTCTAGCTGGTAAAAGTGGAGGGCAGGGACCAGAGGGGCAGACGACAGAGTCCAATGATGGGAGAAAAAAAAAAAACGGCACTGTATCGGGACACCCACTGCTTGCTGTATTTTAATCCTGAATGCGTCGACATCCTGACCAAGGGTTCCTACCCGTCGAATTTGTGCGGACCAATTGCCTTCCCAGTTTGTAACATGTCCGTGCAGGGTCTATTTGTCCGCAAGGTCCACACAGGGGTAGCCGACTGGCTACAGGTGGTGCAAGCCCCAAAGCCTTGTGTATGTACGGGAACGCATGGGAATTTTACACGTGCGTAGCATCGACTCGGTCGGGGATCACGCAGAATATGATACCAAGACAACAAGGGCCTGTTCGCAACCCATGCTCCCGAGGAACCATATGTGTATCTAGTCCAGAGTCTCGGCGCGATTTTTTTGTTTTTTTGTCTTCGTCAAATCAGCGCTCACAGCACTGGTGCCGTTTACTCCAACCCGTGGTCACACAGAGGTACCCTCCTGCGGTACTTTGCCTTCGATTTTTAATGCGAGAAGAGTTCAGCACTCTCTTCCCTCTGTGTACACACGAACTATCGCTATCCACTCGGCCAGGAGCGGAAGCGAAAGAAAAACTCGCTTACCACGAAAAGCTCGCTTACGCCGGGATTCGAACCCCTGACGTGACCTCTAGAAGGNGGTACCCTCCTGCGGTACTTTGCCTTCGATTTTTAATGCGAGAAGAGTTCAGCACTCTCTTCCCTCTGTGTACACACGAACTATCGCTATCCACTCGGCCAGGAGCGGAAGCGAAAGAAAAACTCGCTTACCACGAAAAGCTCGCTTACGCCGGGATTCGAACCCCTGACGTGACCTCTAGAAGGTTTCGAGGATACCAACTAGACCAGACCACTGGGACGACCGTGCATGCTTCCAAACGGAACGAATACCATGTTCGTTTAGCGCCGATTCCTTGATAGTCGGCGACCTCTTTTCTCGGACCCTCTCCTCAAGCCACTCTGGTGCGTGTGCAGACGACTTTGTAGGTAGGGAGAATGGAGCAAGCTCAACTTAGTCTCCGTCCATCGCCAATGACCTGCGTGCGTGTGCTTCACCGGTCGATGCAATGTCCCATTCACCCCTTAGTGAAAAAACACCTCCCATTTCTGCCTAGCAACTGAATGTTTTCCTTTGACGACACACGAAACTCAAACCTTTGCCTGCGTGGAATTGTTTGAGGCGACGGTATCCACGGCTCGTACAAAGCGCAAGTTTAGGGTTAAAGATGTCGCTGACTCTTCCTCTATCGCGGGAACATCGTTTTAAAGAAAAAAAGATGTAGGTCTTAGGTCATGAGGCAGACTTCACGAAATGAGTCCCAACCCTCTCTCTGCTGCGCATATATGGTCCAGGTGGCGAGCGAAGCAGACAACAGCAACGGCGTCGTTGCAGGGCAGCATTTCAACCACGCGCCAAACCTTTACGCGAACGTGCTAGCGTTCAATCATTATCCGTAGCGATTCGGCGAGCCAACTCTCGCCTTACCCCCCCCCTTAACCACCCGGACTTGTGTCCCTTAAAGTACGCACTCAATTCAGCGGAATATCAAAAACGATGCAACACACAGCAGTGGCACAAACACTAACACACGCTTGAATAGAATCAACGTCTACGACAACGGAAAACAACATACCCCCGAGACCGAGCACAACGAACGGAAACACCACGCGCTGGTGCGCAGGCAGGTGTCGTACAGACACCCATATGCACGGGATGACAATACTCTTCACGTCACACGGCCCCCTCACGCTATCGTAAAGGCGCGCCCAAGAGTTGCCTCTACCATGAAAATAGCATTGAGGAGAGGGCTGCCCCGTGTGGAAGTGCTGGGCGATCATTAGTCAAACTACTATGTGCCCCTCCCCTGCCGACCCCGCACTGTAACACATTGATTCGACGAAAACGAGTTGAGCCACAACGATCGTCTTTACATTCACAGGTTCATGGGTTCCAGACGTTCCACTGCTGTCACCCTACCCTCAGTCTGCTACCGCCTCACGCTATGTCTCTGAGGTGGTTTATCAAGACAAGCAACCGGCCGATGATACAACCACGGGCGAACATTGCACACTGCCACAGTCCGAGAGAGAGCGAACGAAAGATTCGTCAGATCACATCTTCAGTGTATAACAATCATCCAACTGATGAAGGTGTAGAAGAAGAACACTGGGTACACGGCCAACATCTTGCGCTCGTCTGAGATGATCTCCGAGATGAACACCTTCGACGCTGTCATTGGAAGAAGGTAACGAACAGCGACCCGCAACAGAAACGCAAAACAAGGAGGTATGCCATGTCGTTAGTCAATGGCGTAAGGGGTAGGAGAAGTAGAGGGGGGAGTAGCAAAGGAACTCGGCAAGTAAAATTGAGTGGGAGAAACACAACGGTTGTAGGGAGGGAAGAACAAACATAAAAACCGAACGCCCCGCTTTGGGGTCGGGGCGGGGCGCAGAAAAGAGCAAAGCATGCCTGTGCGACAACATATCATGATACAAGCGACGAAGACAGGATGGCCATATGATAGCGTGTAGGGCTTTGCAACGATGTGTGTGATGAACTCCAGCAATCTCTTTTAGATTCCAAGCCTTCGTAAGATGAGAGGGGCGGGGGGTTGGCTGGCAGGCAACACACACATTGTATGATTAAATAACGGGGTCATGATTATGGCCCAAAACAAAATGAGAATCGAACTCCAGAAAAATACACGGCTGTTTCGAGTACGCGCAGAAGAGAGTGGGGTGGAAAAGGATAAAAGAACATACATAAGGCGTTCCGTGTGTCGATTGGAGCTCTTCGGCTGAGAAAAATCATACCATGGACACAATCGTGCTTGATTTTAGGCAGTCGTCACCCCTGAATTGTTCGGGAAGTCAGCTCGAGAGATCAAGACAAACCCAAGTCGCCTTGCAGAGTCTCCACCGAGACTACCCAAGGGAACGCCTTCGGAACGTCAGATGGATGGTGTTTACCGTAAAACCACAGACAACGGAAGAGACGAACGTGTTACTGCCAGGGAATGAAGGGGTAGTAGTGGAATGAACCCATGTGCGTCTTCGAGCAAGTGTCATGGGGGTATCCATTCCACAAAAAACAAGTCAAGAACACAGACCGCAAGCGCCTTCGAAGGTGCTACATGGTGTTGCACGTCAACAAAGCAATCATCGGTGTGTGATCGTTCCACATCCGCCCGCACGCACTATCTGTGGAGCATCCCGCGTCAAATGTGCGGCCAATCAACAAGTCAAGATAGGCTGGCACTTCGGTTCCCCAGACAACGCGAGCTTGACAGCAAGCTACCACCCCAAGGGGCCATGCAAAATACCACCACACCACACCATACCCCGCCCTCCGACCAGACAGGGCGTATTCTCAGCGATCGGCCCGGGAGCGCGATCGACGCCAACTGAATCAACACACGGAGTACACATACACGCAGCAGGTGGGCAAGACTCGCGGCAGTACTCGGTACCCACATGCCTTTTAACTATTGCGCGCACATGCGCTGGGAGAGGATGGACACAACATGTAGGACGCATGCATACCTCGAGTTGCCCAGACGAAGCCTACCAGCACAACGGCCACACGCACGACGACGTTCATAAAATTAAAGAGGCTCAGGATGAGGCAGACCACCGCCGACACCAGCAGCGGGAACACGCAGTAACCCAGCACGCACACGCTCTGGAAGAAGGAGCTGCGCACGCGGGCGGCGGGGGGAACGAGGGG